AAACATTAAAATCAATAATCATCTGCCTTGTTTTTCGAGTTATTACAAATTCAGAAGTGTGATTCGATTAAGAACGTGTCAAAGTTTAATAATTTCATAATATTTTTGCCGATTTTCGAGTAAAAGTGATAGATTTTTGAATTTTTAACAACGATGGCAAATATTTTAACACGTGCTGAGGTGATTCGTATATTGACAGACGCCGGCATTGAATTTGATCCAGATGCGACGATGACTACTTTGCGCCCAATATACGATGGATTGATCGCAAATCAGATGCAAAACGTGCAAATACAACGAGAAAATGTGCAAAACGCGCCGGAAATACCAGATGAACATGGAAATGTGCCCAGAAACAATGATGATCGTGCAAATTTTGGTGAACCAGATGAACAGCAGCAACAACGGGAAATTGAACAACAACGTGCTTTACAACAACAACAGATGCAACAGACGCAACCAGATGCAAATGTAAGTGTTCATAATCGGTTGAATTTAGATTGGAACGCAGAAGAAGCCGAAATCGATCGACAATTGGCAATTGCTCGTAAAAAACGTGAATTGATGGAATTACAACGTGAATTGGTGCAAATGGAAACACGGAAAATCGATTTACATGTGCTTGACGCAATGGTGACAAAATTTGATGGATCTGAATTGCATGACATTGCGAAATGGATTGAAAATTTGGAAAACGTGTTCGTCATGTTCCATTATAGTGACCGTGATAAATTGGTTGCTACCCGACATTTGATGACTGGCCGTGCAAAACGTTTTGCGGAAATAACAACGACATTTTCGTACGATCAATTCAAAAAGGCATTGTTGGATGAATACAAACGTGCATACACCGTGCAAGATGTTTTTCGCCAATTGAAAGCACGCACATTGAAACCAGATGAAACACCACGCAAATACATCGTCGAAATGCAATACATTGCGAGCCGATCGAACATTCCAGAAACCGATTTAATTGATTTGATCATTAGCGGCCTGAACGATAAAAGTGTTCACGCATCAATTTTGTACAGTGCTCGTACATTGGCCGAACTGAAAATGTTGATGGAACGTTATGAAAAATTACGCCATGCCTCAGTGCAACCAAGATCAAGTGCCATGCCAGCTGCAACAATGAAACAGAAGCCATACGTGCCAGATGCCAGTGCAAATACACGTGCCATTGCAAGTGCCAGCGGTAGTACAACGAAAAGTGTTGGTGAAATTGATTTGTCGGGAATTCGTTGCTACAATTGTTTCAATTATGGGCATTACCAGAGCAAGTGCACGGCTCCAAAGCGGCCACCAAATTCGTGTTTCATATGCCATGAAGTCGGTCATACACGTCATGAATGCCCGAAAAAGAAGAAGCCAGAAGCCAGTGAACCAAATGCGGTTGCATCAGTTGGAAATCCGCCACCAGAAACAAGTTATCAGGACAATTGGGACATCGCAGAAGATGAAAACGAAGTACGCCCTCTAGCAACGCAGTTGTCATCGATGCAAATGGTAAGTGTTGCCTTTATGAATAGACAAAATAAGTGCACTGAGTTAATTTCGAAAAATGCTTTATTTGATTCTGGTAGCCCCGTTAGTTTCGTGAGACGTTCGATGGTACCATTTGCGATGAATAAATTAAAATGTACACCGTACCGTGGAATGGGCAATAAAAAATTAAGTATGTATGGCAAAATTAGATGCAAATTTATGTTCAGGGGCAAAGAAGTAATACATGATTTTTTTGTTTTACCAGATAATGATGCAGTGGTACCATTACTAGTGGGACGAGATCTATTGAAGAAACTTGAGATCTACTTGTGCCAATTAAAATCATACAAATACACAGCCTGCGAGCTAATTAAAATTAGAAGTAATATGAAAAATAAAATGCCCAAAAGTACCAGTGCACTTAAGTTGTTTAATTTGTTTAAGAGTCCGAATAATAGCATTACAGAGGTACCAACCACAGATAGTTTTAAGAATACAGAGGCAGTTGTTAAGCAAATTGGAAAGAGATCTAGTGTAAGTAAACGGATTGAACCAGAGGTAAACATTGTTGATGACTTGAATGGTTGTGAAACTCGATTTGATAAATGTATCGGTGTAGTTAATTTAAATGAAACAGAAGAACTGGTTGATTATGATGAGGTAATTTTATTGGTAAGTGCGACTGAGACAGATGAGTTTGATAAATTAATTGATATTAACAAGAAATTGGATAAGAAACATGCAGATGCT